CTGCAGAGCATAGATATTATCTTTCAGCAGGCATTTAACGCAGTTATATGGCTGAAAGCTATTATTTCCCCCATCATAGTAATCTATGTAGTTGAAATTTTACACAAAATTTCCAGTCTTTAGTTTGTTGAGAGAGGACGTGTAGATCAAGGTGAAGGTTAAGTGTTTGTATATGTTAACCCTGGTAAGTTTTGTTTCAAATATATTTCGGTCTATTCTAATGTAACGAAATTTTTTAGTCAGAATGTTCTAGCAGCCATCACTCAAACATTAATTACTGTCAATGGGAAAGGATATCCTCCCACATCTTTTCTGGAGTGCTTGAAACCATCCCACTTCCTTTTTTCTTTTACCTTTAGAACTGATTACTGACACTTGGGAATTATAATCAGATTGCATCAATCTTTATGGAAAGGTTACCAATTATTGCACTACAAAATATGCATTTCCCCCTAATAGTGAGTGTTTCTCTCATTATGTCTTACAGTTCAGTGCTTTTAAATACCTCCTAGAAGAATGAATGCTTTGTATCATGCTCTGAGTTAATACATTTGAAAGAAACTTTATTGATGGGTTTCTTACCCTCAAATCTGGGGAAAAGCAGAAGGGGTAAGATTAGTTAATACAAAATCTTCTTAGGATCTTTGCCTGTTATATGTCCCTGAGGTAGAAGCATGGCAGATGTCAAATATCTATACTCTGATATAAGATCCAAGGGCAATATTTACTGTAAAGAGCTACGAGAAGTGAGGATTTTTATGGGGAGATGTACATTAAGCATTGTACTTTGCTCTTTACATACATTACCTTATTTTGTTCTCACAACAGCCAATAAAAATTTGTCCTTGGGCGTGTAGCTAGCAGGTTAGAAAACAAAACTGTGACTTGGGTTCAGATCTCTCAAGCTTCAAGGCCATGCTCTCTCAGGTACAGACAGAGAAGGCTGTTGGTAGAATATTAGAAAGTTTAGAGTTTTTCCATTGTATATAATTGAAATGTTGAACATGGTGAAGCTATTTTATTACCACCACCATCACACTCACCATTTTCTTTATTTCTACTATTCATCAGCATCAACGGATAAAGCCTAGGAGCTTGCCAGGCTGTCTGGCTCACTGTGTTCCACACAACATAGACTTGTTAATTTAATGGCACTCTGAGAGGAAAGGTTCATGACTGCCAAGTACAAACAGACCTTCTGCGGGATGTTAATTTGGTTATAGGAGAGAATGCTTGTTTTTCTTTTCTCTGTGCTAACAAAGAAGCTGGCAGATTTTCTCATGAGTAAAAAGGACTTTGACTTGTTTAAATATGTGTAATCAAAGGGAAGTGAATAGTCCTGATAAACATTTTCCTTTGTGCAGTCTTCAGTTATTGTATGCTGTACCTGCCAGCTAATTGCAAATTGCATGCTTTTTGTTCTTTGCCATCTTTTTTTAAAACTTTAGATTTGGTTTTATGGTTGTTTCCTATAGGGATTTATTGATAGGGAAATAAATCATTTCCTCATTTGAGCCAGTACTGTTTTTATGGCGGATTATTCTGTTACCGGCAGAGGAGTACAACTAGGTCTCTCTAAGAGGTGTTACTGTATAACTTTGTGCAGCCATTTTAAAAAAAAGTAGCTTATTGATATAGATGAGTTACCATAAAGTTCACCCCTTAAAGGTGTACAATATACTGGTTTTTAGTATACTCACAGAGTTATGTACCAGTTTACTAATTCTAGAACACAATTCTAAAACACTTCTATCACCTCCAGAAGAAATCACTTAACCCCTAGCAGTCATTCTCCACTCTTCTACTGGCTTGTTCCTGGCAGCTACTAATCTACCATCTGTCTTTATGGCCTTACTTGTTTTGTATGTGTTGTATAAATGCAGTTACTCAGTATGTGACTTTTTCTAGCTGGCTTCTTTCACATTGCATGTTTTCAAGGTTCATCTATGTTTTAGCAGATATCAGAACTTTGTTTTTTATTGCTAAATAGTATTATAGAGATATATCACATTTTATCTGTATCAGCTGATGGATATTTGGGTGGTTTTCACTTTTTTGCCTATTAATCATGTTTTGGTGAATATTTGTGTGCAAGGTTTGTTTTTTATTTTTGTATGTGTGTGAGTAGGTGTCCTGGTACTAGGGATTGATAGAACCCAGAACCTTGTGCATGTTAGGCAAGTACTCTCAGTTACACTTGCAATCCTTGTATACAAATTTTTGAGTGGGTGTATGTTTTCATTTATTTTAGATATATACCTACAAGTGGAATTTATGGATCACATGGTAACTGATTATTTTGAGAACAGACCAGACTGTTTTCTAAAGTGGCTTTACATTCTTAGAAGTGTTTAAGGATTTCATATTTTCACGTTCTTGCCAAAACTTTTATTATTTTCTTCATTTAGCTATCCTAATAGGTATAAAGTAGTATTTCATTGTGGTTTTCATTTGCATTTCCTTAAAGACTAATGATACTGAACATCTTCATGTGCTTGTGTACTGTATATCTTCTTTATACAATCACCTGCTCAAACTCTGTTCATTGAAACAATTGAGCTTTTTATTGTTTAGCTATAATAGTTCCTTATATATTCTGGATATGCATATCCTTATCAGATATATGAATTTTAAGTGTTTTGTTTATGCTGTGGATTGTGTTTTCACTTTCTTGATGAATAATCTCTGAAGCAATTAGTTTTAATTTTGATCAAGCCAAGTTTTTTTGTTACTTGTACAGATTTCTGTTTCAAATATCTTATAAGTTAAAAAAATGCCAGTTATTTTTTAATATCTCCCATTTAAAAAATTTATACAGAACCAAGTGTCCTGCTAATTATATAGTAGGTTAGAGTATCCACTAAATATTTGTGTTTTCAAGTATTTTCATCTTAATTCAGTGTGCAAAGACCAAGTGTCCTGACCAAACAACCATTTCACTTTTTAAAAATGTCATGAAAATGTCTTTCAGTGTTTTGCATAGTTCAGAACACATACATCATCCTATAGGCATTTATAAATCTCTAGCTAGTTTGTATTGTCTGGACCTGAGGATGTAGGTGTTTTTGGAATATTACCTTACCTTTTTTCATGTCTATTCATATATGTTTGCTGTACATAATGATTGTATTCATCATGGGGAGTTGCTTTGTGTATATAACATATCTTAGTTTTTAAAAATTACCTTGCCCTCTCCTTTTCATGCTCCCTTTGTCTCTAGACTCCCTTTGCATTTGCATCAGAACTCATTTGCCAGGCCAGAATTGATTTTGGTGCCCATTGTACAGAGATGGATGAGTAACCCTAGCTTTTTGTTGTAATCTGCAAATTTTTCTTCTGGCTTACTGCTGTGTGTGTGATATACACTGGTACCAGATATTTATAGCAGCCATGTTTAGGATTATTGATGTAATATAAGGTAGACATAGATATGCTGACTTCAATGCTTAGAAGAGAGCCCAAAGAAAGCCATTTAAAAAAAAAAATTTCTTCAGGTTTTCTGAGTTTTCAGCAGAGAAAATGTCCTGCCTTCTAATTGGCTCAGTGTCGTAGATATGTGTCCAAGTCTAAGTCCAGGTATTTCTAGGTAGTCAGAGCATAAAATGGGAAGCAAGGAGTAACAGGTATTTGGTTGGAGAGGAAGATTGATTATAGAGTTGAGTATATCATGTTAAGGAATTTAAACTTTGTACTCAGTTAACAGGAACCATTGAAGAGTCCACTGGGGAATGAATGGATGTGATATAGTCACTCTGTGGTACAGACACTTGTGAGAACTAGAGACAGGAGACTGCTGGACTGTGACATTAGTCCAAATAAGAGCTTATGAGTACCTATAGTGGGGCACTGGTGGTAGAGAGGGAGAAGACAAGAGGCTGGAAATCTTTAGGAGATATACTAGTCAGCACACCCTGTTTCAAGTGACCAGAAATCATACTCAGATTATTCACATAAAAAGGAGGGTTAGTTGAAAAATTCCTGGAGAAAATTGCTAAAGGACAGAAGTACTGAAAAAACTAGGATGAGTTTAGGCACTTTTGAGAATTCAACTGCACTCATGACCACATGATGGGGCCTTATCTTCATACTCTCCAACAAAAGAGAAAGCTTCTCTCAGCTAGTTTTTAAAGTCCCAGAAACATTCCTGACCTTGTTTATCAGTATCATCAAGAGTTTGAAAAAAAAAAGAAAAAAAGAGTTTGCAGAGGTGGGAAAGGGATGTCCAGTAGAGCTATCTGTGCATGTCCACTGTGGGAATTTGAGCCAGACTGGGCTATTGTTAAAGTCCAAAGAGGAAGTTAGAGGTCAAGAATGCCTTGCAAGTTTGTGGCTTTGGTAGCTAATGATGGCACCATCTCTATCCAAGAGTGAGATTTGGGGCCGAGCCAGTCCAAATGTAGGAAGTAAACAGAGGTAGTTTTTGACTACAGTTAGTGTGGGACATAACAGCATGCTACATATTTTTATGATTATTTGATTGACTTTCTTATGATTAGAGTACTTTTAGAGACAGGGACTATTTTTTTTTTTTTTTTTTTTGAGTCTCTAGAACCTAGAATATTACACTCAGCTCTTGGTAGGTACTGGGTCTGAGTCTATGAATAAGGCATGCAGGTAACTAGAGATCATCTGGCTCTCAGATGAGGATACAAAATACAGATTTAAGAATTATCAGTGGAGGGCTAAATGGTTGACATTTCTTGAGAGTTGCTGCTACTTGCTAAGGGGCATTTATAAAAATTCACATATTATGGAGATGTAATTTTCATGTCTAAATAATGAAATAATCTTCCTTTTCATTATTATAATCATTACTACTACAACTACTACTACTATTACTATTTTACTCTTTGGTTTGTGTACTATTTAATTGTGCCAGTAATTAACTGGTATTAATCCTGCCAGTGGAGTTTTCTTATTTTTGAGACAAAATAGAATTAGAGTTATGACAAAAAAGGAAATAAAGGTGATAAAGACAGAGAAATTCTATTTTCTTTTAGGAATAACTGACTCAGAATGAAACTTTGGATATGATTTCAGATCACTCCTGTAAACTATCAAGAGAGATGTTTATAAAACACTTGGAACAATACAGATTGTACCAAGAAAATGTGCTTTGATCAACTCTGGAGATATAAAAGAGGGAACTTTAGTCAAATTCTATCTGTGAATGGAAAGGACTGGAAGTTCACCTTAAAAGTAAGAATTTAGTTTACATCAAGATTTTATATTCAATAATTTTATATTCTGAATAGCAGATGTTAACCTAGTTCCATCTTTTATATAAAAATAAAATGAGTTGCAGATTTTAAATCTTGGCATCTTGAAATCTAACTCCTGATTTCTATCTCTTAATAACTATTGGAATACTAGTCTAGAAATGGAATTTGACTTTGGTTTTTACCCTTTAATTTTGAAATGAGTATGCTTCCAAGTCTCTTTCCTCCATATTCAGGAAAACAGAAATATTGGTAGCTTGGATACACCATGGTTGTTATTTAAATTTTAGAATATAATTGCTTTTATATATAAAGTAGTAATATTATGTTCCCACTTGGGAGTAGTGGTTGGTCTGTCTTTTTAAATTTTAAGGCGTAAGTACAGTTGTACTGCCCTTGAAGGCTAAACACTTTTGTCCTACCACCCTGCCAGATGACACAATATTATATAAATTGCATATTTAGTCAGCTCTTAGTGTCTTTGGGGGATTGTTTCCAGAGCTCGTGTGGATACCAAGATCTATAGATGCTATAGTCCCTTATATAAAATGATGTAATATTTATATACAATTTATACATATTTTTCCATGTACTTTATATTGTTTCTAGTTTATCTTAATGTCTCATGTAGACACTACGGGAATATTTTCTATTCTGTATCATTTAAGGAATAATGACCTAGAATGCCTGTAAATGTACAGAATGAAAGCAAATTGAAGTTGAGTATGCATCAGATACCCAACATTCTGGGTGGCACATACCTATAATCTCAGCACCCTGGGAGCCTGAGGCAAGAAGATTGCAAGTTCAAGCCCTAGAGCAATTTAGCAATTAGAGAGAACCCATCCCAAAATAAAAAAGATGCAGGGGTAGACCCTGCCCCGGTGGTGCATTGAGACTGCGCATGGTGGCACACGTACCTGTAATTTAGCACATGGGAGGCTGTAAATAGGATCACTAGGAGTCTGATCTATGTAGTGAGACCCTGTAGACCCTGTCCTAAAGTAAAAAATAAATAAATAAAAATATTAAAAAATTAAAGGGCTTGTGATATAGTTCAGTACAAAGGCCTTAGGCTCAATCCTGAGTACCATAAAGAGAAGAAAATCTGACTGCAGTTGATTGAATCCATAGATGCACAACCAATGGATATGGAGGGCTAGTTGTATTTTTTAATATTGCTATTTATTACCTAGAATTCTTTTGTTCCCCTAGTCAGTAGAATTGTAAGGCATTTAAAAAAATCATTTATTTCGTACAAGGTCTCACTGCACAGCTCAGAGTCATAGTGGTACTCCCGTGTCAGCCTTCCCAGCACTGGGATTACAGATGTGCACTACTATGCCCATTCTTGTGGCTGGCACAGCTTGCAGTACCAGGGATCAAACACGGGTGGTTGCGCTTGCCAGGCAGGCTCTTATGCTACTGAACTATCTCCCTAGCCCAAGGCATTTTTACTTATTTGTTTAATTTTTACCAATGAACTTTCATTAAATTTGGCTTCAAATATGGGCTAGTGTCTTTTAAAAACTATCAAGTTAATAGAACATTTCTAGGAACTCAAATTATAATAGCCCAGGTTTGAAAATTGCTGTATTGCTGTAATTGATATTTTGCTGTGATTATTTAAAAATAACTGAAATCATTTTCACTTGAATTGTAGATTATTGCTTATTCTCTCAGAATTTGAACAAATATCAAATAGAGTAAGACATTATGTACCCTGAAAATTAACAAAGCTACTAAAGGCAGGGAAAGACAGTATATTTTTTATTTTAATGATGAGATCAAAATACTGATTTTTGAATCCCATGCTTAGGTTAGCTAAGAAATTGCATGAAAAATTTCTAGGTCAAGATTGCAGTCCCTTACACATTGTATTACTTTTAAAACCAATTATAGCACCAAAATGAAAGATTATTGATTTCTGGAGACACCCTTATTAGCTTGTAGAATAAGTAATTAAAACATATCTAATATAATATAGTTTATTCTGGTTTTTTTTGAAATGACTTTAGTCAAAACAAGTCAGCTTTGCTTTTACTAATAAATTCACCAAAAGTAATACCATTTAGATAGAAAAATTCCCAGCCTAGATGTCAGAATGGAAGTAAGCAGCTCTTATATAGATGATGCTAAACATAGGACCTTGATGAAAGAAGGCCTTACTCTCTCTTTCAGTTGGCCTCTTGGCTCATCAGGGTCACTCTAATGCACCACTTAAGACAAGATCACTTTCACATATTCCTATACAGTATTTCTAATTGGTAAATTTTAGGATTTTTTAGTGATTGATAAATACAATTCCAAAAGGAACATTAGATTATTGGTAGGTGCTAGAGGAGGGATGGTTGATAAACCCAAGTGTTTTGTCTCTGTAGATTTAGTCTGATTAATTTAGTCTTAATTAAGGAAAGAATTTGCATGTGAAAATATATGCTTACACTGATAAGTAACTCTGAGTTACTTATACATATACATGCTGATACATACCTATATAAGCTAGTTCTTACTCTTAGGGAATTCTGAATTTAAGTTTTATTTTGTGTCTTGATAGCAAAATAGTGTATGGAAATTCTAAAAGGGGATCAGTTGTGTGGCTTATGTAAACTTTCTAAATGTGTTTGTGAACTGTCAAATATAAGCTAGGTAAAATAGGGGTTTTCCTGAAAGCTAGACTGGCACCCCACTGGGACTCTACAAACACCTTTAGGAGACTGCTGTTGCAGGCTAGAGGGTGGCTCAGTGATAGAACATTTAGAACATTCCCTTAGCTTTTGCAAGGCCTTGGGTTTGATTCCCAGCACTGTAATGAACCTACCACCTTTCTTTGCTCTCATTAATGATATATAGAATCTTTTATAAAGGAAGAAAGGTATAAACTACTGGTTCATATATTGTTTGTTACAGCTTTATACTACTTGCTTATGTGATTAACATGTTACCATTTAAAATCGTAATTGTTTTAAATATTTAAAGACATATTAAACGAGAGTAGCACTACTGGTAAGATCACTAAAATAGTCGAGGCATTTTTACTAAAGAAATATTGCCTGACTTTGTAGGATTAAGGTTACAAAGGCTACCTAAACTCCAGTGCATAGAAGATAAATGGTTTTATGCAACCAGCTCTGCCGTTGTATCATTTTGCTTTTATACTAACATAGATTAACATTAATTAGAGAAAAATAACTGAATTGAAAAGAATTAAGTACCAGTAGCTCATGATGAGATAAGTCTACATTCTTGGGCAGATGTGGTTTCTTTTGGGGGCCTCCTTGGATGACTCCTCACTAAAAGACTCAAGATGTCCTCTCTGCTGGTAGCAATAGGAAATAGCTCTGTGACCTTGGACAAGTGACTTAAAGTCAGTAACATACTGTGTATGTGTAAAATGCTCCATTACAGTGTTATTATAAGGGAGAACAGAGGTGTGCATGTGAGGTTTAATACAGTGTCAAGCATGTGATCAATTGCCAGTAGATGTTAGGTGATCAAACAGTATTTTCCTACCACATAAAATGTAGTGGGGGGAGGCTGCCTGTTAGCTTGGTTGTTTAAGTGCCTGCTCATGCAGATGCAGTCAGGAGCAGCATTGAACTGCGATCCCCAGCTCCACCTGCCTTACCAACCCGCCCTTAAGGCAACCTGAGCCAGTCTAAAAAAAAGTAGTGGTTGGCAGTGATTGACAGTGGAAGTGTAATGAAGAACCACAAACTGGTACTGACCTTGAATGGAACTCAAGCTGCAGTTGGCATTAGTTCATCATTTTAATTCAGTAGTGGAGGTAAGATGGCAAAGTTACTTTCTTTTTTTTTTTTAAATAAAAAATTGTATTTACTTAGAAGCATTCAGAATGTCCATAAAACAGTTGCAACTTTTTTTTTTTGCAATTACAGAGTGGTATTCAGTTAACAACAATTATTTTGTATAAGCTATATCAGAGACAGCTGAAGATGAAAAACTACCTTCCCCATATATAACTAATTTGCAACAAGAACCTGCTTTAAATTTCCATGCCAATTTACAACCCCCATACTGCACCAGGCAAGATTAGTGTCTATTGAAAATACCACCAGGACAGGGCTATATAAAGACACATTTGATAGTGTGTTAACTATACAAGAAAAAAAAAAGACACTGTACAGTTAAAAACTAAATCTTCCACAGCCTTACATTTCAAATTTTTTTCTTCAAAAGGAGTTGTTTACAGGGGGATTAAATGCTTTATAGACAAGAAAAAAAACTGCGCTAGAACCAGCTTATACCTGGGCCGGGGAGATAGCTCAGTAGATTGAGCACCTGCCTGGCAAGTGCAAGGTCCTGAGTTCAATCCCTGGTACTGCAAAAAAGAAAAAAAAAAGTGAAACTAGAACCAGCTTATTCATCATCATCATCCTCATCGTCATTTTCCTCTTCCTTCTCCTCTTCATCTTCACCTTCCTCATCCTCCTCTTCCTTCTAGAAAAAGAAGCTCTGGGGGCCAGGGAGATAGCTCAGTAGAATAAGCACTTCCCTGGCAAGCTCAAGGGCCTGAGTTCAAACCCTGGTTCCACCAAAAACAAAAAACAAAAAGGAAAAACAAGCTTTGGCAACTCCTTTTTTTTTTTTTTTTTTTTTTTTTTTGTTTTTGTTTTTGCTTTTTTGTAGAACCAGAGATTGAACTCAGGCCCTTGCACTTGCCAGGGAAGTGCTTATTCCACTGAGCTATCTCCCCAGCCCCCAGCAACTCCTTTTTTTTGCTGCATCAGATTTTCTTTAGTCCGGTAGGCAGCGATGTCCTTTTCATACTTTTCCTTCAGCTTAGCAGCCTTCTTGTACAGCTTCTTGTCATCTGCTGCAGTATTATTCCACATTTCTTCAAGTTTCTTTGCAACATCATCAGTAGAGAGGCCAAGATGTTCTCTTTTGATTTTTGGGCGATACTCAGAACAGAACAAGAAGGCTGAAGGAGGCCTCTTGGGTGCATTGAGATTCTTG